TAATGTGATCGATGCCTTGAAGCTAACAAGCGATCCGCCGCCCTCGGTATCAGCTTCTACAGCCCCTAATGAAGCATTAGGAACAATAAAGGCGTTCCAAGTCACCGAGGCCAATTATGCAAAGGCCATGGACAGCCTAAAGCGAGTATATGACAACGAATGTCTAATATTCTCGAACCAAATCTCCGCACGGTTTAATCTGCCAAAAATCTCGCAACAGTCCGCATCGTCCCTAAGAAGCCTCATCGATACAGTGTCATCGATCTATGGTTCATTATTATCGATAGGAGACGATACGAAGATTTCGAATGCAATGCTCATTCATCTCGTTTTGAACAGAGTCGACCCAGTGACGAGACAGAAGTGGGAAGAACAGCTTGACTTCGAAAAGATGCCGCTTTGGTCCGACTTTGAAAAAGTTTTAAATCGTCGATACCAGCATTTGTCTGCGGAAGAGTCGACAAAGCCAAGGCAAGAAAAAGTCATGCCAAGCAAGTCGCACAATCGCAGTTCATTTGCTTGTTCTTCCACTCCCCCCAACAGTAGAGCTCAGCGAACATGCAGCTATTGCAATTCGGGAGACCATGTAGTGGCCAACTGCACGCCATTTTCACGTCTCTCGGTTATGCAAAGGTTCGAGTTCACAAAGTCTGCGTCCTTATGTATAAATTGTCTGCAAAAGGGTCATACTGTTGTAAGATGCAAGGTCGCCAAATGTCGAGTTTGTGGCCGCTCACATCACACATTGTTGCATCGATACACAGTGACTGATAATAGTCTCGCGTTGCCGCCACCCCCAGAGAGTTCGTCTCCTCCTTTAAATCAGGACCACCCTTCCACCTCTCATGCTCTGCATGCGACTTCGTTGGACAGGGTGATTTTGGCTACGTCGATCGTAAGTGTCAGAACAAAAAATGGTGATCACATTTTGGCCAGAGCTCTCCTTGACTCTGGATCCCAAACAAACTTCATCACGGAAGACCTCGCCCACCGCTTACAGATCCGTAGAGAGGAGTCGTGTATTACCTTGCTTGGTATTGGTGAATCCAATTCTCAAGTAAAGAATAAAATACACACTGTGGTGAAGTCGCGCATAAATGGTAGTGAGTTCTCCTTTGATTTTTGGATCCTGAAATCAATTTCAGGTTATCATCCTGACCAGTCAGTTAATGTAACTGATTGGAAAATCCCAGAGAACCTACCACTGGCAGACCCCTATTTCTACAAGCCACAAAGAATAGACATGCTGATTGGAGCTGAATCATTCTTTGAGTTATTAGCTGTTGGTCAAATCAAGCAAGGTCCTGACTATCCAACTCTTCAGAAGACCCTTCTTGGCTGGGTTGTTTCGGGAAAATATGTTTCCAAAAGTTCTGCCCCCGAAACGGCAAACAGTTTGAGTTGCAGTGAAGAGCTGTTAGTTTCCATTGACAGGACCTTGCAAAAATTCTGGTCACTGGAAGAAATGCCATCTCCAAAGAAAATTATTTCGCCTGAGCACACGTTATGTGAAAATCACTTTCGGAAGACGACTCAGGTATTGCCATCAGGTCGGTTTGAAGTAAGGCTGCCGTTTAAATCAGATCCAAATTGTTTGGGCAACTCCTTTGAGGTTGCTAAACGGCGGTTTTTGTCGCTCGAAAGAAGATTGTCTCGTGACCCTGAGTTGAAGAAAATGTACTTGGAATTCATGGAAGAGTACCTCTCCTTAGGTCATATGTCACCGACTGACAATACGGTTCCTTCTACTCCACACTACGTAATTCCACATCAGTGTGTTCTTCGGCCCCAAAGTACGTCCACCAAGCTTCGCGTCGTGTTCGATGCGTCGTCGAAGACGTCCTCTCAGGTGGCCTTGAATGAGATTCTGATGGTCGGACCGACCATTCAAGAGGAATTATACTCGCCCTGACTGCCGATGTGAAAAAGATGTATCCCCAAGTGATGGTGAATGAAGCGGATAGGCAGTTTCAGATGATAGTGTGGAGAAGAGACCCATCTGAGTCCTTGAGATTATACAAGCTTAACACCGTGACTTATGGGACTGGACCAGCCCCTTTTTTGGCTATCCGGTGTTTAAAAAGGTTGAGTGAGTCTGTGAAGCTATCATTCCCTAAAGCTGCTGACGTTATTGGGTCCGACTTTTACGTTGATGACATGTTGACTGGTGCTGCATGCGTAGAGGAGCTAAGGGCAATTAAGTCCGAAGTATCTCAGGTTCTTCAGACCGCAGGGTTTGAGTTAGCGAAGTGGTTTTCGAACTCACCTGAAATCACCGCATCTGAGAGCACAGCAAAACCCATAACGATCTCGGATTCAGAATCGACTAAGGCGTTAGGAATCTCATGGTTGCCTGAGGAAGATGCCTTTCAGTTTAAAATTGACAATGAAGTCATGGGTCTCCGAGCGACAAAACGGAACATACTGTCGGTGACATCGAAGCTGTTCGACCCCCTTGGATTGTTAAGTCCTATCGTCATAAAGGGCAAGATCCTATTGCAGGAACTTTGGCTTAACAAACTAGATTGGGATGAGTCGATTCCGATGCATTTGGAAACAGCATGGAATATGTTGAAAAATACACTGTCTCAATTGGAAGAGATATCCATACCTCGGTTTGTGTATTCCGATCCGATGTCACCGATCCAAATACATGCCTTCGCTGACGCCTCCATGAGAGCTTATGGAGCGTGCGTCTATGTCCGTAGCAGAACTGCAGAAGGTTTAAAAATATCATTGTTGACTTCAAAGTCCAAAGTAGCGCCGCTCAAGACCAAAACGCTCCCACGGCTTAGTTCGCTCACCCCCGGCTTAGAGCTGTTTATTGGTCAGACTCTGAAGTAACTCTTCACTGGATTCGGTCGCATCCATCTTCGTTGTCGACGTTCGTTTCAAATAGGGTGGCTGAGATTCAGGAGTGGTCAGATAAAGCTACGTGGCGGCATGTCCCTACAAAACAGAACCCTGCAGATATTGTGTCAAGAGGTTGTGACGTCAAAGAAATCGTCCAGTCAATCTGGTTTGAAGGACCATCATTTTTGAAGGATGAAGAAGAGACCTGGCCAAAAAACCCTCATTTCGAGCCTACAGAAGATGTCGAGCTGGAGAAGAGGAAGAACGCGGTCGGGCTGACCGCTGCGGTAGAAATTTCGGATTTGGTAGATGTCATCGAGGGATTCTCGTCACACCTCAAGCTGCTTAGAGTGTTTTGTTATATGTTCCGCTTTATAAAAAAATGTAAGAACCCGAGCATAACGTTTGAAAAAACGGTTTTACCGACCGAGTATGAAGCCTTTCGCAAAATTGTTGAAGTTATCCAACATCACGAGTATCGTGAGGAAATCGAGAAAGTTCGGAAAGGATCTAGAGTTGGTCCTAGTCTTCAGCGGTTGAACCCTTTCATCCATGAAGACACTGGTACTTGGTGTACTTTTTCGTTGTTGAGAGTAGGGGGGCCAAAAGCTAAAGCTCCTATATCATACGATGCCAAGTTTCCGTTGCTTTTGACGAAGCGTTCGCAATTCGTGCGGAGCTATGTTCGTCATCTGCACCATATCAATTTTCATGTCGGCCCACTTGTGAGCATCCTTCGACAGAGTGTTTGGATCGTAAACGCTCAGGAGGTCTCCAGTCAGACAGTTCGATCGTGTATCCGCTGCTTTAAATGCAAGCCTCGACTGCTGACGCAACTGATGGGAAATTTACCCGCAGACCGGCTCCGTGCTTCCGCCCATTTTCAATTTGCGGCGTTGATTTTTGTGGACCCGTCTCGACGACATTGAAAATTCGAGGAAGGCCCCCATACAAGTCCTATATCGCGCTTTTTGTTTGTTTTGCGTCCAAAGCGGTTCACTTAGAACTTGTATCCGACTTGACCACTGACTCTTTTTTATTGGCTTTCCAAAGGTTCGTTGGGCGCCGAGGATATCCCCAGATCGTCCATTGCGACAACGGGACGAATTTCGTCGGAGCGAGCCGCCACCTCAGCGCTCTGCAGAAGGCGCTCGAGGACGGGGCGACGCAGTTCGCGAATTCGCGTCAAGAAAAGGATGCGAATTTGCGTTCATACCGCCTCGAGCGCCGCACATGGGAGGACTCTGGGAGGCAGGTGTCAAGTCTGCGAAGAGCCTACTCCTACGGGCGGTAGGCAGCGCGCTATTGACCGCCGAAGAGCTCGCCACAGTCCTCGTCGGGATCGAGGCCGTCCTGAACTCCAGGCCGCTGGGAGCCCTCAGCCAGGACCCCAGCGACGGCGAGGCACTCACGCCCGGGCACCTGCTGACAGGCGGGTCGCTCATCGCCCCCCAGCACTGCGGACTCCGGACCAGGAGGGTCTCAGCTGCTTGCGGCGATGGCAACTTGCCTCGTCAGTCAGGCAAGCGTTCTGGCGGCGATGGTCCAAGGAATATGTCCTGGGCCTTCAAATTCGGGGCAAGTGGCACCAGCGGAAACCCGACGTCAAGGAGGGAGACCTCGTCCTCGTGGCCGAGGACAACATGCCTCCACAGGAGTGGCTCCTCGGGAGGGTGATCGCCACGCACGCCGGGGAGGACGGCATGGTCAGGGTCGTCGACCTTAGGAGGAGCGATGGGGGCATTTTTCGGCGGGCCATCCACAAGTTGGCGCCGCTACCAATGTGTTGAAGCCGCTCAGGCCTTCAACGGGGCTGGTGTTTCGTCATGTCGTCGTCTTAGTCAATGTTTTATGTTAAGATTATTTTTGAATTGTTTTGAAGTCTAGTGTAAGTAGGTTAGGGCAAGGCGGGAGCGCAATAAAAGCTCGCTCTTTCGCTCAAGGCGAATTCGCCCCGCTTTGCCACCGTAGGTTAGTTAGGCATAGAATGAAGTGTAATGAATTTTTAGAATATAATCGTTGAAATTGAATTCGATCGAGCGCACCTACATTATTTCGTCCCCGCTTTTAATAAATCTTTACGCCACCCAAGTATTTCGGTTTTGTGATTAGAAAAACTATTCTAAATTTTCATTATGGTTCTCGTCACCAAACCGTCTCTTAGCACTGGCATAACTTTCTTGCGCAGAATGTCTTTTGCTGCTTCGTGCATAAATCCAGTCATAACGCGGCCATCCCTTAATATATTACGGGCGGTTTTTAGATTACAGTTTTTGGCGTGACAGCGAATGGTAGACTTTGGAAAAATCCGCGACATGATTTGCAGTGTTTCCCGAATTAGCTCTTTTTTGACGAGTTAATATTAAAGTGCCACTGTTGAATGCTTGATCTGTGTTATGCAGATAGTCACCAGCTTTTCGGATTTTTTGATCAATTTTTTTCTTTCTGCGTGAAGCTTCGGAAAAGCAACATTTTTTTAACCTCCTTTTCATTTTTATGCATTACTTGCAGATGTCTTGCAAATTTTGTTTGAAGCTTTTTACAATACATACAGAAATGTTGCTTGCTCTTTCTTTGTTGAGAAATGGGAATTGATAATTTTCTTATATCATAAACAGGGGTCTCGGTAGATAACGGGGGTCTTGAGGACATTGTTCGGTCAGTTCGACAGAATCTGAAATTTATAATATTATTATAGCTTGTTTTACTACAATTTTTATTTTTGAAATGGCTTGAACTGTGAAATACCTAGCAGAGCTTCAACCTTGGTACTGTCTGGGCGTGTCACTTCTGGAAATTGTTCGGTCAGTTCGACAGCATCTGAAAATTATAATATTAGAAATTAATTTTATAACAAAATCTATTGTTATTTTTGTTACAAAAACGATTTTGATGAAATTTAACATATGATAAATTCTTTGTCCATAATTTCAAATCGCGCGAATTTCTTGTTGGTGTGCTTAAAAATATATATGTATGTACATAGTGACGGGCCCTACAAATTGAAAAATCGCGCGAGTTTCTCGTCTGTCTGCGTATAAATATATGCGTACATAGATATTTCGTTCAAATTTCTTGTCTTCAATTTGTAGAGCCCGTCACTATGTACATATATGTTTATACCCACAGACAAGAAATTGGGACGAAATAACTACATATGCTTTAACTACAATGCTTTATATTTCCCAGACGGTAAGCTGAAATCACAAAGTGTTTGGGCTCAACTTCTAGCTGTTTCAATTATCTTTTCAAAATAGCAAAGTTCTTTACAACTAGACGTAAGATACTAGAGTTATGTGAAAAAAACAATCGCTACCTCTGAAAAAAGGTTACAAAAAAAATACCAGTTTTCAAAAATTCTTCAAAAAAAAGTTCTGCCATAGAAAAAAAAAAAATATCATCAAACCATTTCTAAGCCCCAAATCTTTAAGAAAAAGTTCGTTTTGTTCCTTGAGGAACAATCGTGTTGACTAGTGTTATCAACATTTTTCGTTCGTTTTGTCCGGCCTTTGAGAGCATCCGCTCGGACTCCGTCGAGGTTGTGGGAACACAGAGAGCTTTCCTAGTCACGTTGGCTAAAGCTGGCATGTCACTTTCATTGATATATACTTTGATATACAAAAATGTAACTATCACCACTTACCTTCTAATACTCTAATGGGCTGCAATCATTTCCGGTGTTCATTTTTTCAAAATATTGTCGAAGAACGACTATTGCGTCGACTTTATTGTTTCTTTTCTATTTTGGTTTTTATAAAACCTACGCAGTGTTTTCTCGTGTGAGACTTGTACTGGCTGTTCTGCTTCCGGTTCTTCAAGTTTTTCTCCGTTGTAATTAGTCAACATGTTTTCCAGCAAAACGGCGCCTTGATCAGCATTGATCTGCAAACGAAATCCTTCTTTTTTGTATCGTGGATGCAAGTGATGGCAAGTCTAGTTGCGTTTTCGTGCAAAAATAAGCAGACCTGCTTGCCAACATTTGTCTCTAGATTGTCGTATTGCTCAATGAGAATTTGAACCAGGCCGTTTGATAAAGGAATTATAGATGAAGTTGTTATTTTGCTACTAGACGAGCACTGAGTTGTCACATAATCAAATGGGGCAGTACGGGCGATATATGATTTTTCGTCGCTATTCCAGCGAGTACAAACTTCTTGTATGAGACTGTAAACTCTGCCCGCACCTTGAGCCTCCTTGAACTTTTCGTAGGCAATCGTGCTACTTTTAAAAAATGTAAAAATTCGCTTGCACTTCACTAGTAGTGGTTTCAAATATTCTTGGGCCAAGCAGTCTTGCACCACTAAATTCAAGCAGTGGGCATAGCAGGGTGTCGTTTTTCAAGAATCTCAAATGCCTTTATCATGGATCTCGCATTGTAAGTTACTATGGCCAAAACTTTGCCATCTAAAAAACAGTTACATAGAACCTTGCGCAAGGATCTGGCAATGTTTTCTGATGAATAATTAGAGGGATCTTCGAGCTTTTCGGTTGACAACACCGCACTTTGAAGATCGATTTTTTCGTCAATAAAATGGATGGTTACAGTCAAGTACCCATGGTTGGCCCTCGATGTCCAGCAATCCATTGTTACGGCGCAGCTATCTACTTTGCATAAAATATTCTGTAGTTTTTCGACTAACTCCGTATACAGACTTTTCATATGCACGTTCTGCATCGTATTCCGCGACGGTAATATATATGGTGAGTCCAGACGATAGAACAAATTGCGAAATCCGGCGTCCTCAACGATTGAAAATGGTTGCACGTCGAGAGAAATCATTTGCATTAAAGCACGGTCCAACATTTTCTTACGAGCAGATGAACTGTTGTACACTTAAGGTGCTTTTATATATTTTTTAATAGAACTCACTTCGTTGTTATTTATTAAATCGCTGTAAGAGGGGTGAGCGCGCTTCAGATGATCGAGAAGAGTCGAGGTGTTGCCCCTGGTTTTGTAAGATCTCTGACAAAAGCGACATTTTGCTTTTTTCCCATCCTCACTTTTCTCGAAACAATCCCACACTATACTTCAGCCAAGTTTCCGCATTGTTGGTCTGCCAAACTGCTCATTCTTCTTCTTGGACCACAATGCTTTTTTTTCTCGCATTTTCCTTGCTGATGTCCTTCCATGCATGTGTAAATAATATAAAAAAATTTAATAGATGCTCTATAATATTGTGCATATATTACGTACCATTGAAACCTTTTAGGAACTTGTCCATTGTAAAAATTATATGCCACCAGTCGATGTGTTTACAACCATGTCTTCGTATTTTATAGGCTGTTTACATTGGGACTGCGTCATGCTTCTTTGCGTTTTGGCGAAGACGCATTTTTTTTACATAGGTTAAGCATAGGGCCCTAGTGGTGGCAAAAAGTTGCGTCGATCTCTGATTCATGTGCGTCTATTCGATATATTCGATTGCTTTTGCGCTTAACTGCACATTGCTTTTCTGCCTATCAGCGCAACTATCACCTCTAAGAACAACAAAAACTTGTAGTTAAAAAATCAAATTTTGTCGCTAAAATGAATGGTTGTGCAAAAAGGTGAAAATATACATAAAATCATGAAATAAAATACTTGAAACTGATTGTATTATTATCATACGACATTTTTGTCATCCCCTGATGCCATTATGACACTGCTGGAGACGAACTTCGATGGTTTTCATAATTTTAAGAAGAACTCCCACAAGCTCTACAAAGAAATGTGAAAATAATAAATAAATATAAGAATCAATCTCTTTCGTCCATTTTCTAGTCGTCTTGCATAATTCTGTTGATTTCTCAAAATTTGTTTACTTTCCTTGTCATCAAGCACCCAAAAAAAATCAAAGCGCGTCTGCCAATGTAAACGCCTTTTCTGCTTCATTGCGTCTATTCCGATATCGATAGCAGACGCGCCCAGTGTAAAAAGGCTATTAGAGCGCATCGATAGTATCGGCTTGCAGCAAAACATCACTACTATCGATGGTTTGACACCTCTAGTGGGAACAATGACCACTGGGGGAAAGTCACGGTACCATCACCAAGAACCAGCACCGAGAACCTGCAAAAGAACCAGCACCGAGGAACCCGAACTGGATCCAGCAACAAGCAATGGCGAAGGGAACATAAACTGAGATTAAGCAAAGAGAGCGGGAATCATAAACGAAGAGAACAGAGCGGGCCAACTGCAGAGAGCCATAGCATAGCATAGCATAGCTCATAGTGCAACTCTATAAGGTGGTCTTATCAGTTGGGTGGAGGCATGATGCAATTATGTGGTCTCGTCTGCAAAAGCAGTTCTTAAGAATGCTTACAATAAGTGCGAGTGAAAGGGCTCAGCGCAGTAAGTGTGAGTGAAACAACAATAGAGCGTGTGGATTAACCCTCTGATGGACCATGGGGTTTAATTTTTCCGGTTATAATAAAAAGAGTTGAAGTGTTTTTTATAATTCAATTTTTAATAGATTTGAATTTGAAATTTAACGTTTTTTTTTTTTGCATAGATATTTTTTGTTAAGGCTCTTAATTCTAAAATAAATTCTAATCTTAAAATAAAACCTTTTTATATCTAAATTAATATTAACATTTTCGAAAGCCTTTAACAATTTTTGTTTAACGTTTTTTGTTATGTTAAAATGTTCTTTGATAATGTTTAAAAATGTTATTTCCAACTCTTTCAGTTTATTTTTGAACTGTTCAGAAGGTTTAATGAGTCCACCATGCGAGACCTCATCTACGTAGGTAAATGTCGAATTTTCGGCAAACTCATTGGAAAGTCGCAGTTTTTTGATGACATAGCCTGCTAGCAAATACAATACCAAGATGCTGCATGAGCGACCAAAAAGCTGTTCTGTGGCGAGGCTTACCGGTACGCCCCATGGACAGAGGGAGCATGATGAAATTATATAAGGTGGTCTCGTCGGCAGCAGCAGGCCCTTAACAATACTTACAGTAAGTCCGAGTGAAAGGGCTCAGCGCAGTAAGTGTGAGTGAAACAAGAATAGAGCGTGTGGATTAACCCTCTGATGGTCCATGGCGATTAAAGTTGCCAGTTATTATAAAAGAGTAGATGTTTTTTTTTAATTTAAAATAATTTTGAATTTGAAATTAAACGTTTTTGTTTTTCGATAGATATTCTTTTTTTACGGCTCTTAATTCTAAAATAAATTATAATCTTAATATATAAAGTTTTTATATCTAAATCAATTTAAACTGTTTCGGAGGCCATTAGCAATTTTTGTTTAACATTTTTTGCTATGCTTAACTGTTTGTTGTACGTGCTTGCAGAAAAAACTACAATAAGTCATTTTTGTTTCGGCTATGCTTCCTCACTGACCGCGAGCCCACTTCCCGACAGCTTCGTCTGTTCGTAAGAAACGAGCCGAGCGAGCTCGAGACAGCTCAGCAGATGCGCACACTGAGCCAGTGCCGGATCAACCCTCAACCGAGCCCTGGCCAACCATCATTCTGGGGGCCCCTTTTTTTCACGCCAGCTTCTTTCGTTTAAAATAAAAACTTATAAATTTAATGTTTGTTTCATTATTTTGTATTTTTCTCAGTGGCTATTATATTTATTATTCACTATTTGGAGATTTTAACAAACATTTTTCTGTTAGCCATAGGGGGGCTCTAGGCAACTGCTACTACGGCCCTGGGCCTATTCCCGTCGTCAGACTTCATATTTTGTTGTCGCTCGACTCGACCGAGGTGACGAGGCCGAAAGCAGAGGCAAAGGCCAGCCTAAAAGAGAATGGAAGAAATACCACGCGCGACCGTACCTTGAAGCGTCAAACGAAAATTGAACGAGCATTTGCTCCTCGTGCAACATCTTTGTATTGCATAGTCTTTGATTTAATGCAACAGACATGTCTGCTGCCATCTGCCTTCAAACCGCGGGACCTCGTGCCTACTATCATCAATGTACGTGTAACACTCCAAAATATATGATTGTATGCATAGAATAATTTTTAGCTGCCGAAACCGACTTTGTTCGAGATTTCAGTTTACGTAAATGTGTGTGTGCCATGTATTCTCACAATCTGTGCTTCTGTGGGTTCTACAATTTTTGCCCGCTTTAATTGGTTTTTCGTTTTGTTTTGAGGGCTGATGTGATGTAGCGAACTGAGCTGACCTGCCGCAGCATAAATGAGGAATGGGCAGAGTGGGTGGGGGTGTTAAATAAATACAATATATAAAAATGAAGGATGTTATCTCTGCTCATATCTCCTAAACTAAAATTATCTTGAAAATTAGATTCGCTAAAGCTCTGGAAAATGTTCTACTAGATGTGTACATTTATTTTATTCAAAGCGTTCATAAAATATTTTTTAATTTTGCCACCTCTTTTCACCTGAGTCCCCAATGTTAATACACACAGTACAAACAAATAACTTTAAATTTTAAAGTTTAAAACCAAAATCGACCGATTCAGGGCCGGATCAACCCTCAACCGGGCCCTGGGCAACCATCAATCTGGGGCCCACTATTTTTTCACGCCAGTTCCTTCTTTTTTCATTTGAAATAAAAACTTATAAATTTAAATTTTGTTTAATAATTTTTTTGTTTATCAGTGGCTATTATATTTTTTATCCATTATTTGGAGTTTTGCTTTTTCAACAAATTTTTCTGTTAGCCCTAGGGGGGCCCTCGGCAACTGCTAATCCGGCCCTGGACCTATTCCCGTCGTCAGACTTCATATTTTGTTGGCGTATTCTGTCGCTCGACTCGACGCGGGTCCGAAGCCGAAAGCAAAGGCAAAGGCTAACCTAAAAGAGAATGGAAGAAATACCCCGCACGAGTTACCGCCTCCGCGGTTACGACGCAACCAACCAAACCCCCTCGGACAATGTCCCACTGAACTGTGTCGTTCAACCCAGCCGTTGTCCGCGTCAGCACAATCCACCACGAGCTGCAACTCGTAAATTCCAAGGAAAACATACTCGGACTCAACATCCGGCGAGGAGCTGACCCGGCGGTTTCGCACTACATAGAGAAATACATTATGTACAATAGATGCTAAGCTTCGAGTAGGAACAAGTTCAAGAAAACATTCATTATAGATCTTGATACCAAACAAGGCAGTTGACTCTTCATTCGACCAGCAAACTCTACTCTCTGATCACTTTATTGCAACATCATATAACAAAACGACAACCAGGAGGGAGCGGTAATTGGCGCAGCCGGATTTTAAAGAACCAGGAATCGCTCATGGACAAGATGCTCACTACATGGATTTTACTTATAACAATGTAATTAAAGGGGTGGTACCCAGTGGCAATGGTGAAAAGGAGGAAAGGAAAAACGAGGAACAAAGTTTACAAAAAAAAATTTAAAAAAAAAACCGATAATAATATAATAAACGATTGAAGGCATAAACAACTACGCTGGCCAAGAAATCAAAGCCTTTAGTAAATAAATTGTGAAAAAGTGACAAACATAATGGTTTAAAGTCATGCGAAACAAAGCCCTCAATATTGTGTCCCTGTGCGAAGATCAAGTTCTGATCATCGCTAGTGCAGAATATAAAATTAATTAATTACACATTTTGCAAACACAAATTGCAACGAAATTTCAATATTCCGTGTCACTGTGCGAACATCAATTGCTGATCATCGCTAGTGCAGAATATGAAATGAATTAATTACACATTTTGCAAACACAAATTGCAACGAAATTTTCCATATTCCGTGTCACTAGTGCGAATATAACATCAATGCAACCAAATTGCGATCATCGCTAGTGCAGAATATAATGAATAAAATGAATTAATTACACATTTTGCAAACACAAAGTGCAAAGAAATTTTTAATAACCGGTGTCACTGTGCGCACATCATCACAAGAAAAAAAAATAATAAAATACAAAAACATCTATGCAACAAAATTAATTTATGTATGTCACATTGTGCGAGTATCAAGTTCCGATCATCGCAATATAATATAATATACAAAAAAAAATTATTTTTTTTCTTCCCTCAACTGTATACATACGTACCAAGAGTCGTTCAAAAAATATATAAACAAATATGAAGTCCAGAAGTTTTTACGAAATTGCTTGCCTTGCATTTACCAGGCGTTGCCCGATATCAGTGGTCTTTGTATATAAGCTGCCTCGCAGCTATAGGAATCTTTCTCGCTCACTCTGGCTCGCTGTCTATTACGGTATATAAAATTGAAGCCGCGGCTGCTGAGCAGCCAAATGAAATTTGAAGCATTCAGAAATTATGGGCTTTGGCCTTGTGTGTGGTCACTTCTTCACAAGCATAATAAAATGAGTTTCTCCATGGTTTCTTTTTG